AGAGTGCGACCAAGGTTGCCGCGCCAATTGAGCCTCTCCGCCCCGTTCCTTCCCCCCGTCATCCCCACCGACGTTCCCTCTTCGTCATTTCCTCACCTTTTGGCGCTTGCCTGAGACCTATTCCCCCTCCCCCTTAGCGTTTGCCACCATTACGACGAACCGATCCAAGCATCGAACACCTGGAGGGAGCAGGTGGAAGGGGGAGGGGGAAGTGGGGGCGGGAGAAGCAGGAGGATGAGGCGGAGGGAGGAAGGGGAGAGGAGGGGGGTTGGCGAAGACGGAGGGAGGAGGAGGAAGAGGAGCAGGAGGAGGAGGAGGAATAGGAGGAAGGGAGGGAAGAGGAGGCAGAGGAGAAGGAGGAGCAGGAAGAGAAGATTAGGAGGAGCAGCCGCAGCAGCAGGCGCGAATGCCCGAGCCGCCCCCCCCGCGGGGACGAGCTGGGCCCATGGCGGTGGCCGTGTGCGGAGCTCGCGAGACGCACGCCCCATCTGGCGCGGGGCCCCCCACCGCAGCAGCGCCCAGCAGCTGCGCAGCAAAAACACCACGTGCTGCAAGGTGACCGGCACAGCGCAGAGACCTGCCCACGATGGTGAAGCAAAATCGTGGCCCATCCCACGGAGAGCAACTCCCATTTTGAACCACGGCGGGCACCACAAGAGTTGCCTCGATTTGTGCACACAGCGCGGCTGAGGCCGCAAGAGATACGGTTGGATTTGCAATCCCACTAGGGGTTACGGCGGCTGTGGTAACAATTGCTGCGACCACGGCACGCAGCGCCGCAGCGGCCCAGAAGCATGGAAACGGGGGCCCGCAGAGCTGCGGCAACGGGCCGAACCACGGCGACCAGCACCCTGAGTACGCAGCGCGTGCTTCCGAGCCTCTCGTGCCAGCATCAGCCCAGTACGTCATCCAAGCCGCCAGGCGCGCACCGCCCTGTGGCCACGACGACGGGGCGAGGACCCCAGGCGGCACCCAGCCCAGATCGGCACCAGCGCCGCCTTGCCGCCCAGCCCCAGCCGAGGAGAGCGACGTCGGAGAGCTGCGGCGACGCGACTTAGCACCGTTTCATCGATCCACATCCTCACTGGGCCATGGTACCTCGGCCCCCCCAAGGAAGATGGCACGCGAAACCCGCAGGGAACAGCACGCATCCCCTCCCGTGGGGGGCTGAAGGCGGCCAGAGGGGCCAAGTCCATGCCAGTGGGGACGGGGATTGGTGAAACAGGGATCAGGGCGCGTGGACTAGCGACGGGCTCCGCTTCCGCTCACCACCGACGCTCTCCGCCGCCAGATCAGGCGGCACTGGCGCCATGTTTCGGGGAGCGGGGGGAGCGCGCGCGCGTCAGATCCGGGAATCCGTAATCCGCGTTATCGCGGGCGCAGGACACATCCGCACCCGCGGCCACGCGGGCCGGGCCCCTGGGCCGCGCCCCCGCGGGCACAGGGCATCGCTTTCCCCTCGCGGATGCCCTGCGCGGAACCTCACCCGTGCGACCCCGTAATTATCCGCGGGATCGTGCCCCGGAACCCAGACCGCGAGGGCGTGGACACGGATGCGTTCGCCGCTCGTGATGTCAGCGTGTGCCCGACCCCTGAGAACCGACGCTGTAGAAGAATGCAACATCGCAAAAAGTCACAACCGGCGCCCCAGACCCCGTCTTCCTGCGTCGTTTTCCGAGCCGGATCGATCCGTGAGGGTCCTGGGGCCCGAGATGGAGCGCCAACGCCCGACGCGACAAAGTGGCAACGCCAGGATCCCAGGGACCCTCGGCCTATGGCTGCCCCCTCGCTTGGCATCGCTCGGACGTGCGCATTTTTTCTGCGAGGACCCTCGAGGAGCAGATTCGATTGTCTAGCCAAAAGTACACGCACGAAATCAAACAAAAATGCGCTGGGAATGTCGGCCACGCGCAGACAGGGGTAGGGAGGGGCCTGGGGAAGGCTTAGAAGCACCCCTGCTTCTTAGAAGACGCGGGCCTTCTATATGGATGTAGGGCTGGCGCCTTCTAAGAAGCAGCCCCCTTCTAAGAAGCCTTCCCCCCTCCCCCTCCCCCCCTCTGCGTGCCGCCAAGATGCACGTGCGAGCGATGGCGAGCTCGGGCCACCCTGGTGGCGCGGCCGAGGGAGAGGCCCGCCAGGGCACGGCCTGGGCCCTGCCCGCCTCGGGAGGCCCCGCTGCGGGAGGCTCGCGCGGCACACCCTGAGATCTTCCTCCTCCTGCTCCTCCTCCTCCTCCTCCTCCTCCTCCTCCTCCTCCTCCTCCTCCTCCTCCTCCTCCTCCTCCTCCTCCCTCCTCCTCCTCCTCCTCCTCCCTCCTCCTCCTCCTCCTCCTCCTCCTCCTCCTCCCTCCTCCTCCTCCTCCTCCTCCTCCTCCTCCTCCTCCTCCTCCTCCTCCTCCTCCTCCTCCTCCTCCTCTCCTCCTCCTCCTCCTCCTCCTCCTCCTCCTCCTCCTCCTCCTCCTCCTCCTCCTCCTCCTCCTCCTCCTCCTCCTCCTCCTCCTCCTCCTCCTCCTCCTCCTCCTCCTCCTCCTCCTCCTCCTCCTCCTCCTCCTCATCCCCCTCCCCCTCCTCCTCCTCCTCCTCTTCCTCCTCCTCCTCCTCCTCCGCCTCCTCCTCCTCCTCCTCCTCCTCCTCCTCCTCCTCCTCCTCCTCCTCCTCCTCCTCCTCCTCCTCCTCCTCCTCCTCCTCCTCCTCCTCCAGTGTTTCACACCGTGCGTTTTCGCCCAGTTTCGGGCCCTGAGACCCTCACAGATCGATCCGGCTCGAAAGATGAAGGAGAAAGCTGTGGTCCAGGGCCTTGGTAGTGATTTTTCGCGATGCTACCGGCCAGTGCCGGCCTTGCCAGACGGGCGGTAGTGCACGGAAAGAAAAGAGGAGGAGGAGGAGGAGGAAAAGGAGGAGGAGGAGGAGGAGGAGGAGGAGCGTAAGGCAGGACACGCAGATGGGAGGAGAGGAGCAGGACCGAAGGTCTTCTCCACCAGAACGGAGGGGGGAGGAGAAGGAAGAAGCAGACGAGTAATGAGGGATGTGATGGATGGTCGAGACGGATCGGGGATGGATCTGAAGACGAAGAGGCAGACGGTTGGGAGATATGCGAAGTCGGAGAGACGATAAGACCTAGAGAGGGGGGGGTGGAGAAAGCGATAGTGGGACGGGGAGAAGAGGGGGAGGAGGGCGAGAAAAAGGGAGAGGGTGGAGGATAAGCTAGGTGCGCTCGCGCCACCTCTGACATCCTGTCCATCCCTCCCCTCTCTTCCCATGGCGCTGAATTTCCCTATCCGCGGACGCGTGTCATAGCCGACTTGGAACTCCATTGCTCCGGCAAAGCACCCTGATAGCAGCTGAGGGACGTGTGCGACCTGTGGGACCTGTGGAAACTGTGGGACTTCTGTGGCCTATGAGACCTGTGAGACCTGTGGGGCGGCTGGGAACTGTGGACCAGTGGGACCTGCGGGACTTGTGGGACCTGTGCGACCTGGGCGACATCTGTGGCCTCTGGGGCTTGTGAGGCCTGCAACACCTGTGGGACCTGTGGTACTTGTGGGTCTTGCGAGACCTGCGAGACTGGTGGGGCCCTTAGGACCAGCGGGACTTGTGGGACCTGGGGGGCCTGGGGGACCTCCGTGAGACCTGTTAGAGCTGCGCCACTTGTGGGACCTGTGGGGCCTGCGGGACTTGTCGGACCTGTGGAACCTGTCAGACCTGCGGAACCTGGAAGAACGACCCTGCGACACCTGTGGGTCCTGTGGGACCTGTAAGGCCTACGAGACCTGCGGGACCTGCACGGCCTGCGGGATCCAGCAAAGTGGCCCACGCTGGGGCGAGAGCCCCATTCTGAACTACGGTTAAGTCGGGCATGTCCCTCTACAGGAGGAACATTCGAATATCTTATATATGAATGACGACTTTTGTATATTTGTGTGCTATGTTTGATTATGTGTTGCTGATGTTTTCTCTGTCGCCCAAAATCCGCCTGCAGGGGGACATGCCCGACGTAACCCCATCCTGAACTACGGGAGCAAAGCGCCGATCCGAAGACGAGGCCCACGCTGCAGCGGGAGCGCCAATTTGAAATACTGAAAGAAATCGAATTGCAACAAAAATCATCGGAAATATCCATGTGTGAAATCTTGTGTTAGGGGAAAAACATCTGCGGAGGCGGGACCGCGGCCCAGACAACTTCAGGGGAAAGAGGCAAATAGGGTTCACATTGAATACATATAGAAGGCGGAGGAGAGGGAGAGAAAGAGAGAGAGGGAGAAACAACAGAGAAATAGAGAAAGAGTGTGAGAGAGAGAGAGAACAGACATATACTTTTATGTGTCTATACAAAGAGATAGCGAGAGAGGAAAACAAGTTACATACATACATATATATATATAAAATGCATAGAGAGAGAAGAGAGAGAGAGACAGACAGCGCGAGAAAGAAAGAGAGAGAGAGGGAGAGAAACGCAGAAAGAGTGAGAGAGAGAGAGTGGGAGAGGGAGAGAGAGAGAGAGAGATTAAACTATAAAAGAGAGACAGAGGCAGAGACAGAGATAGAGACAGAGAGAGGGCGGGAGGGAGGGAGGGAGAGAGAGGGGGGGGGAGCGAGAGAGAGAGAGAGAGGGATGGAGGGAGGGCGAGGGCGGGGGGAGGGAGGAAGAGGGAGAGGGAGAGAGGGCGTTGCAGTTCGACTTGTAAGCTGGCGTTCGCGAGCGAGCTTGAGAGGAGGACGAGGAGAAGGAGGAGCGCGTCCCCCGAGCTGGACACTGGCGAAGGAAAGGGCATGGGAATTAGGTCTGCCGCACAACACACGCCAGGTCGATACCTCTGCCGACGTCGCCCCATTCTTCCCCGACTGCTCCGCCTGTGCATCAACGAGGAGAGGCATCTCCGCGGCCATCGCCGAGACTTGCCGCAGCTGCGTCTGCCCCACGGGGCTGGCTCAATGCCGGCCATCTTGGCACTCTGATGTTGGGAACGCGAGCCCTGACACCCACCCTGTGCCACACATCGCATGGCACCTGAGCCCATCAATGTAGCAGGACTCATGGGTGAAGAACAGCCAAGTACAAGCGCTGGGCTGAGGGACCAGCCCCTGGCGCACCCCATGGCCGACCTCGACCCCCCAGCGGTGATCACCTGCGTGCGACATTCGGAAGCGGGCGCCGCGCGCAGGTCATCACCGCTTGAGGGTCGGCGTCGTCCCTGGGAGGGTGCCAGGGGCGGCTCTCTCAGCCCAGCGAATGTGGCCCTCCCTTCCCCCGTTCCTCCCCCTTCTCTCCCTCCTCCCCAGGGGCCTGCGCTTCGGGCTCGTGGCCCTGCTGCGGGGGCGGCGCGCGTGGAGCTTGTCTCACAGGCACGACAGGAAAAGCCGGCCTGGCACTCGAGCCATACAGTCAACCCGCATAGTAAGGGTGGGCCACCTTCCCAAGGGTACTTTTGCATGCTTGCCTCCTCGGTCATCCTTCGCCACGGTCGTCGGCCGCGCCCCGCTCGAAAGGCCTCGAAAGTGACACCGAAGGCCCCTGCGTCCTCATCGCGTATTCTTACTATACGGGTTGACTGTAGATCTTCGATGGCTCCGAGACGACGTTGAGCGCTGGGTTCTTCCTCCGCTTGATCTGATTCACCCTGTCTGCCTAGGCGCGCTCCCGCGCGCCGCCCAGGGCCCTCGCCCAGCCTAGCCGGTGAGCAGACCGCTCGCCTCGTCTCGTCTCCTCTCACCGAGCGCGTTCCACGACTCGCAGGGTGCCCACTCGCAAAGGGTCCTACAAACAGACGCCTGCCTCGACGTAATGTATCGCAGATCTCCCTCGGCGCCTCTGGACCATTGGCGAGCAGTCACCCTGCCAGCAGTGGAGCGCGCGCTTGCCCACCCCCTTCGCCCCTGGAGGACCTGGCCGACGGACGAAGCTCGTGCTCGTCCTGGCGCTTCTGCTGCCCCGCCCCGGCGTGGCCTCCCGGGGCCGCGCCGAGGGCTCCGACGGCAACAGGCCCCGGCAGCGCCACCTGCGGCGGGCGTCGCCGCGCGCGGGTGCCGACGGCCAGCAGCGGCGGGCGAGCGAGGCCTCGCCGCCGCGGGCGGTGGGCTTTGTGCGGCGGGCGGCGGGTGCAGCGCGCGGCGACCCCGTGGACGAGATCAAGCAGAAGCTGGAGGAGCAGCGTGTTCGGCTCGGCCCCGGGCATCGAAGAGGAAACAAGGCCACAGGCATAAGCTCTGTGGCGCTCCGCGCGGAGTTCTTGGATCTGCGCTGGGGCCCCCTCTGGCGGCGCCTCCGGCGACGCCCCTGGCGCGCTCCGCGCGCCAGGGAGGGTGGTCTAGCGCAGATCCAAGAAATCCGCGCGGAGCGCCACAAACCTTATGTGTCTGGCTTTCTTTCATGTTCTAAGACATGGTCGCGTCGTGAAGAAGTCAGGGCGGGAGGGTTTTCGTCGTCTTCGTTCTCTGGGGACCCTCACCATGCCCCAGGACCGTCAAAAATGATTCGGGATGAAAAACCAGTCCTGGGGAAAGGGTCGGGATTACCAGGGGCCCCGTCTCAAAAAAGTCAGGGAATGGCATGTTTTTGTCGGGTTCGGTCGTGCGTCTTCATCGGTTCGCGGCAGTGTTCCAGCCTCGGGATGCTTTCTGGCAGCCGCACCTCGCCGAGGGCGTTCTGGGAGTTCACGCATCGTCCCAAGCGGCCGCCAGGGACCCGAGTTGTGACCGAAAGAAGCCGACCAGGATTACTAAGGGTGTTCGCGGTTCGGTCGTTTCGGTTGTGTCCCAGTCGGTTGCGTTCGGTTTGCCCGGTTCGGTCGGTCATTGCGTCGTCGCCACGTCCTTGTCCCCCTCTGGGCTGCTTGCGGTATGTCGGTTTTTGGTCGGCTTCGGCTTCGCTGCTGGTTCGGTTGGTTTTCGGGTTCGCTGTCGCCGTGGGTGGCATTGAGGAGAGCCCGTTCGGCGGCACCGCGGCGGAGCAGAGGAAGAAGCCCCTCATGACGGGGATCAACGTTATGAGAGCGCAGCTGTGCTGGAGCCGACAAGACATCTGGAATCACCAGGAGCGTTTTTCCTCCCTTTGCCCGGGGCAAGGGAGGTTCTGCTCACGCGGGATTCAAGTTCAGGGCGTTCACGTCGTTGCGTTATTCTTTTTCTCATTCCCCAAATAGTGCTTGCATTTTTGGAAATTCTAACTTGCGATTCGAAGGAATTGAATGGGTCTGGCGAGGTTTCGCCACGTTGCCGTCTCGTTGCCAGCTCGTTGCCGCTTCGTGCGCTGGGTGGGTCCACGAGGCTTCGCCACTTTGCCGCCCGTTGCCGCCTGGTTGCCGTCTCGTTGCCGCCTCGTGCGCTGGGTGGGTCTGGCGAGATTTCGCCAGGTTGCCACCTCGTGCGCTGGGTGGGTCTGGCGAGGTTTCGCCACGTTGACGCCCGCTGCCGCCTCGTGCGCTGGGTGGGTCTGGCGAGATTTTGCCACGTTGCCGCCCGTTGCCACTTCTTCGCCGCCTCGTTGCCGCTTCGTGCGCTGCGTGTGTCTGGCGAGGTTTCGTCTCGATACCACCTCGTTGCGGCCTCGTTCGCTGGCTGGGTCTGGTGAGGTTTCGCCACGTTGCCGCCCATTGCTACCTCGTTGCCGCCTCGTGCGCTGGGTTTGTCTTGCGAGGTGTCGCCATGTTACCGCTCGTTGCCGCCTCGTGCGCTGGGTGGGTCCGGCGAGGTTTCGCCATGTTGCCGTTCGTTGCCGGTTCGTTGTCGCCTCCAGCTTGCACCTCGTATGTTGCACCACAGCTTACACCGCGTAGTTTGCACCACATAGCTTACACATCCACGGTGCAATAACTTACTGATTGCGGTTCACGTTGGCTAACATGTTTGTTGTTATTCCCAACCCTCCCTTGGTTGGGTTCTCATTTTGAGTAGAGCAGTGTAGGCCCCACCTCCTCCTCTTCCCTCCTCCCTCCTTCCCGCCTCAGCTGCCGTCCCGGCTCAGGCTTTGGGTGCAGGGCCAGTCCCTGCGAGCCTCCTCGGGACAGCTGCCATACGCGTCCGACCAGCCGCCATCGAGTGTGGTTGGACGACCGTGCCAGGTCGTCGCCTCGCCCGTGCAGCCCCACGCCCCAGCGGGCTGGAAGGCAGTTGGGCCAGACGCCACGCACAGACCAAGGACCAGAGCCCGCGCGGCATCGTCGGGCACGCACGCAGCGAGCAGCAGCACGGGCTCTTGTACGAGTATCGGCCGCTCGAGATCTATGAGCAGCTCACCACAGCTCGATGCCCAAGACCCCACCGTGGGCCACAGACGCAGTGTCCAACTGAAGCCAGGCAGCACCACCCGCTGCCAACTGGCGTTGTTCGAAGTGTGGTACATCCAATTGGCCGTCAGCTCATCTATGCCAATGGTGTGGGCCTCCCCAGCGGGGATCTCGACCGCGTGGCGGACGTTCCCAGCAGCCGTCCCGCCGCTCGAGCACATGGGATCGAGATGCAGCCAGTCGCCCTCCACGCGGTGCTTCCAGGAACCAGGAGGAACCGCCGACACATCCAGATCGCCTACGACAGCTTCCCAGCCAAAAGGTGCCACAGCAGAAGCAGGTTCTCGACCCTCTTCCTTGTCCATCCTCCCCGCCTCGCCCGAGACGGCCAAGGCACACGAGTGTTGGGTCGAGCCACCTACAGGGGCCAAAGAGTTGGCACAGCATCGCGCCAAGATCAAGACTACGCTCGCCGCTTTAGACAGCCGTATCATCAGTCGTCGTGCTTTGTGCGCCACTCCAGATCAGCTGCGTCCGCTCGAGACCAAGTACGCAGTCTTTCTTCTCATGCACTCCATGCGTATGGAGCGCGAAACCGTGTGGCCAACCAGGAAGGATTTTCGGACGGGGCCAAGAAGCGTTCATCAGATGCCAAGGCCGCAGAGGAGACAGCCACGATTGCTTTGACCAAGGCCACCGCCATGCGCCAGGCTCTGCAGAAAGACTACGATCACTCTACGGAATGGTTGGCCCATTTCAAGGACTTACAGCTTCAGGAGGAAGTGGATGCAGCAGCAGCAGCACGTGCAAAGGCAGCTCAGTCGACTGCCAATGCCGAAACACTGGGCCGTTCAGTGCAATTTGGACCTGCTCCTATGGCGATTGACACTCCGCTTCCCAGCGCCCGTCCGCCAGCACCGCCGCCGCCTCCGCGACCTTGTCCTACTGCTCCTCCGTCGGCAATTTCATTGCCCACGGCCATCACAGAGCTGCAAGCAAGGCAGCAGGCGTTCACGCAGCAGCTCTCGACATTGGCACAAACATTTGCGACATTGCAGTTGTCGCCTCAGGCAGCGTTACCTCAGGCAGCCAATCCAGCTCACACTGTACAAAGTGGACAGCTCCTCACAGCCATGCAATTTGCGACGCAGCCCACGAATCCTCTTACGCAGCCACCTGCAGCGGCAGCAGCAGCAGCTGCCAGCACAGCAGCGGCGCAGATCGCGCCAACAACTCCAGCCGTAGCAGCAGCAGCAGCGGACGTTGGAGATGGAGCTGGCTATGTGCAGGATCGCTTTCTCCAGACGGTTTGCCTCACGTCTCCGAGGAAGAGCTTGCAGCTTTCAGGGCACCAATGGATCGTCAAACGCCAGCAATACTCCTCCGCCACGGCCGCTACGGCATGGCAGCCCAAGCTCTGGTCGCAAAGCTGCAGACCGCGCCACACGGCAGCAACAGGCAGGGACACTGCCAGGGCAGCTTGGCATCGCAGCCCCGCTCAGACGCACAGCAGAGGCACCTCCCGCCAACGAACCAGACACCAAGTTCCAGGCGATCGACGGAGGCCAGAGTTTTCAGGGCCCGAACGTCGGAGGAGCAGAGCCCCGAGAAGCACGAGGCGCAGGACTCTGACGCGGGCATACCAAGCCAACACCATTCGAGACAACACCACATCTCAGAATCGTTTACTGCCCCGAGTTGAGGACGTTTGTTCAGCTTCCTCATTCCCAGTCTTGGAGACAGAGGCTATGGACCCCATGGGGCCGACAGCTCCCCGGGACCTACTTCCCATCGCCCAGCACCTGCACTCGTCTACTCTTCAAGTTCTGCCTGGCCATTCCCCCATCGAGGACATCGGCGAGCATCGTAGACTACTCGTCTTCACGGACGGTTCAGGTGGAGGCAAACATGTTATGCCTCATGAGTCGTGCACGCAGAGGTCCAAAAGGGTTACCCAGCTGGGCCTGCGTGGTTCTCTTGGAATATGTATATGATAGAGTCGCCCTTCCAGGCAATTTGGCCAGCGCCTTCGACCCGGGGGACATTCCGCCCGAGCTTTGCTCGTTCCTCTCGGAGATTCTCGCGGCCCAATGGGCCATGGCTTGGATGATGCAGTGGCATGATTTCCAGGGGGCGAATTTTCACGTGGACATGCATTGCGATAACCTCGAGGTGATTTCCATCATCCAGGGCGGGGCCACTCAGGGCAATATAGCAGAGGAAAGAGTCTTGCTCGACAGCTTGTCTCGCGTCTTGTTCTATGGCAGCGTCGACACTTTCAGAGCCCAACACGTGTCGGGACATTCAGCTGACCCTTGGAATGAGTTTGCAGACACGCGAGCCACTCTTGTTTCAATGCAGCTGGTTGGTTTAGCATCGCATCTGTCTCATGCCCGGCGAGATCACCAGCTCTCTTTGCAGGCGCTCAGCTGGGTTCGGCATGCATTTGTTCACTCAGATATTCGCGCCCAGTCCCCGCCAGCATGAGACCGGCCTCTTCCGAGGCCCACCGCGCCCACGCATGGCATTTCAAGCGCGGCTCCGCCGTGCCCTGAGGTTTCAGGTATCAAGGTCCCTCACGGCTCCATTGGGGCTGCCCATACTAGGCCCCTCCACGCGGTCTCCGCCAACGTGCTCACCATGGACCACAGGGCCTTCAGGGCCAAAAGAGTGTCTGAATTGCACCTTCCCGGTCGCATGGCCCACCCGAGCCACGCGTTCTCCAAGCGCTGTGTCTTACAAGCAGGCACTCTGGAAACGCGCCCCCCACGTGATGGATATCCTACAGTAGGAGACAATCACGTTATTCACGCCAGCGCTGGCGCCCACCGCTGATATGGCTGTTCTTCATGGATAATCACGAATTGCACTTTCAATGGTTCATACCGGCTTACTTCGAAGCACTGCAAAGCATTATTCGCCGCACCTCGTTTGCTCATCGTTGCCATCCGCCAAGGCGCCTTCAATTTGAATGCGATCGTCGGGCATGCGCCCCATAGTGCATCTGGCAAGCCTACCATTGATGATTGGTGGGCGTATTTTTCTTCACGCTTACGGCGCCTATTCGACCCTGCCATTCTAGAGATCCACCTTATCGATGCCAACGCCAGAGTAGGGTCCAGCGTTTCAGATGCCTTTGGCAACGCGCACCCAGAACCCAGAACTACGCTGGTCACTGCTTCCACGAGGCCCTACTAGAGCGTCGACTTCGGCTTCCTGATACCTCCCTTTCCACAGGCAACAGCGGGGCCACATGGTTTGCTCCCTCGGGCTCCAATCTTAAAGAAGGTCGACGACTTGATTACATAGCTTGCCCCCTCGACGCACTAGTACTACAGACGGAAGCGAAGGGCGACATCGATTTGGCTATCTCCACAGTGGATCATAAGGCGTCGGGCGCTTTGCCACAGACCCCCCTCGCCCCCACCCCCCAATAACCGACAAGGCACGGAGTATCCCAAGATCAAATGCGACCCGACAGCCTTCACTGATCCCCAAGCTTTGCATGATGTTGCTGATCATGTTGTCCATGTCGCACCATGCCCCGACCTCTCACTACATCCCGACGATCATTGCCAGGCGTTGGTCGGTTACCTCCATCGCCCACTGCCCCAGTTCTTTCCGCCCAAGCGTTCGGCTAGAGGGCGCTCGCAGAGACCGGCGTGGATTTCGGCGGCCTCGCTTGACCGCATGGACGTTCGAGTCAGTTTATTACGGCGTTCTCTTGGAGTGAATGCTCACTGGCGCAAGGTGCGCCTTGCCGTGTGTCTCCGCATCTGGGCTATCCCTATCTGCACTCCATGGGTCTC